CGATTTCGTACATTTCACACACATACAAATGTTGGTCTTAAACTGTCACTGTACTTTATCAAATTTGACGAACTTTTTTTATATTGGCACATTTATGAGAAAAAGACCTGTGAATAAATCACGATTCTTAAAAAATAAAAATTTTTTATTATTCTACATCGATTTTATAATAACTGATTTTATAATATATTATTCAGAAACTTTATTCGAAATTTTGACGTAGATATACAAGTAATTCCGATTCAATCACATACTACAGTGCGGCAAATAATTATTTTCGTCCAATTGTCTTCTCGCTGAATGCAATGTGCATCGAGTCACCCGACCGGAAGACTGGCGACAGCTGAGACAACGGAAATAAGATGGCGACCACACTGGTATCTTGTCCCATCGTTAGGTCAATGTACCATAGTGCGAACGTTAGTGTGCTTCTCCTCGCGTAAGTTATGTACGTAATTACGTACGTAACTTATTGTTAGCGCAATGCGTCTATTTATTGCAAAATACACACGTGCGCGGGCGCATTGGAAGTTTCCGAGCTTCCTCGGTGGTCGCAAGCGAGCGCAATATGTGCTGCAGCTTATTGGCCGGCAGTTAATACCGAAGTTGCGTAACTATACGATGCCCCGTTGCGAAAAGGTGTCCCTTTTGCCTCTAAAATAATTACTTCATGAGATGTATTCTCTTTGCCATCCTATCTCTTTCCTTCTCTCATTTCTGTTAAACTTTAAAATTACATTCTAGATTGCTTATATTTTCTAAAGATAATCGGAATTTCATCGTGAATATTGAAATGCTATATAAGATATAGATGTGAGTTTGATATATAAAGTCATTATTAATGTTCATTAATATATACAGAGTGTCCCAAAATTCACGCATTCGGAATACAGAACATACTTTATGCTAAAACAAACAACTTTTTTCTTTAGCAAAATTGCATTCGATAAATAATTTTTGCGCTTATTTGTTAACTTCAACCTGCTCTCCCGCAAAAATTACTTATCGGACGCAATTTTGCTAAAAGAAAAAGTTACTGTTGTGCTAAAACGAACATCTTTTTCCTATAGTAAAATCATATTCGATAAATAATTTTGCGTTTACTCGTATAACTTCAATCTACTTTTCTGTAAAAACTACTTGTCAGACACAATTTTGCAAAAGGAAAAAGTTGTTTATTTTAGCATAATATATCATGTCCTGTACTTCGAATGCGTGAATTTTACTCCTGTATATTAAATTACAAATGTGTATTAAATAAAATTATACATATATATAGTTTATATTAAATTTAAAAAAATAAACACTTTTATTTTCATTCTTGTTATATTTTTATTCTTTTTGCACTTGCTCCCATTTTTCTTCAATGTATTGAATTAACTAACAATACAAAGTACAATTTGATATCCCGTCCAAACATGGGTCAGTAGAATTCGTCCATTTTTTTCACCTAATCAGGACAATGTTTAGATTCTTATCTGAGTACCACCCAGGTATCACTCCATCCTTGTTTGCCGATTATTAAACAAAGACGACATGACATCTAGAGAATCTCCGTGAGAATCCAAACACGCCTTAGAAAAGGTTGGTTCAAAAAATTTCTAAAAATTCATTAACAACTTTCTAAAATAAATATTGAAACTTCATTTTGGAAAATAATAAAATGTAGTATAATTTATAATTATTGAAAGACTCAAAGAAACTTAAACGAACAGGAATCGCTCGATCACTAGTGATTCGACCTTGAAGGGTTAAAAATAAAAAATGTACAAAATTTTAATAAATATTTGTTTTAATAATATAAACTAAATATTACTCTATAATAGTATAATAGTATAAACTAAATATTTATTCTAAATGTAAATATTTATATTTATTTGATATAAAAACCATTAATTTAACAATATTTTCTGTTATTGAGTAAATAGTTATTTACCGTAAATAAATGTTTAGCTAGCACTATCGAAAAAAATATGTATTTAGATGTAACAAGTCTTTTTCTTAATGCATCATTCAAACGTGTGCATATAAATATGATATATAAATATATATGAATGTCTGCAGTGCAGTGAATTCGAGTCCATAGGTTTGCTAAGCCCAAATGACTATGCAGATCAGTCATCCCTGTGGAAGTATGTGCATAAAACGCAAAACTTAATGGTGAAGACATCTTGTGGAACATCCGTTAGATTTTGAGTAAAATCCCCAACAAAACATGAATCTTTTTCAGATAAATATTAGAACTTTACGATATTATCCACGATAGATACAAATTTAGCCATTAAAAACGTGGTTTATGTTCAGAGAATGGAAAGGATCTCAGAACACGATGAACGTCAGTCGATGGTACAGAACTCGACCTATGCGATCAATATAAGCTTTAGAGGAAAGTACTACCATCTCTTCCTAGTTCCCGGAAGCTTGTCATGATGACTGCGATATTTGCACTACGCTCTGAATTTGTTTGATCGATAACGAAATTAAATATCTTTAGTAGTTGACAATAGTCTGTATTGGTCCATATCGGCAATCACTACAGGATACCGAGAATTGTGGCTTAATTAAATATAAAAAAATTGTGTCAGTTGAAACAAACTCATTGATCTATTACATAGTGTATAAAATTATTAAAAATGTCTCATCCATCAAGATTGAAACGACCTAGACATCGCTATTTAATACCAAAGCTACGTGTTATGGAGGGAACAAAGTATGTTGAATAATACAAAAATAGAATTAGTGTGTATAAAAATATAATGTATATTTAATAAAAATTAAAAATATTTTTCAAGCGTTAGATAAATTTTGCTATTAATCATCGTTTAATAAATTTTTTTTTATTATTATGTCAATTAAGTAATTAAGCACAGTATTTTAAAGAAAATATTCCTGAAATATATATTTTATTAAACTATTGCATTAAAAATTAATAAAAAATTTCTTATCACATATAACCTCGCTTCAGATGGGATCGTTCTTTTTCTAAATCGAAGGAATATTGGAAGAAATTTTGCGACGATGAAGAAAAAAGATTAATTAGAGTAAGAAACTCATTTCCAAAATCACCCTACCTTCCTATTATTCCTATTTTGCGCGATTTTGAAACAGACATTCGCGATATCATAGATTCTTCCATTCCTCGAAGCTTCGATGAAAACGTACTTCTCGTAAATCCGAAATTCTCCGAAGCGGCGGATATTTCTTCAACAAGAGACAACGAAAGTTTTATTTCTAACGCTAGAGAGCCAATAGTTAAAATCTCTCCTCCCACCCCAAAAAAACCATCAAAAAATAACGCAATCACAATCGCTAGGACGAATGCAGAAGAACAACATACGCTTGTTACTATTCAAAATAAATCTACAATCAAAAAAGTGGATTCGTATAAAGAATCAAAGTCGCTTGATGTTTCTTCCAAAAATTCTATCATACCACATGACGGATCAAGAGATGGAAGAATATATTCAAAGAAGACATGTCCTTTTCACAGATATGAACCCGTGGTAAAAATTTTTGACGACGATATCGAAAGATATTTGATGGAAGACCCGAGAGCAAATGTATCGCTGGGAGAAAAATTGAACAAATTGCCATACGTGCAGGACGCGTCTAAATATGATAAAGATAAGAATAGAATAACTTCTGTCGAGAGTAAGAAGATTAGAAAGGTTACTGTTCCACAAAAGGCGTTAGAGTATTATCTAGACAGTACTGTTGATTTAACTACAAGTGGAACTACAGAGATCAAATCTAAAAATAAGAAAAATTATATACTCGACAAACAATACAATTTCAGATCTGACGTTTATACATCGAAATTTAAATTTTCTTCCGGCAAAAAGTCTACAAAAGAGATAAAGTCCATGGATAGTTTAAAAATTGCATCGTCGTTTCCAAAATCGTTTCAATCCCAAAATAGAGTTAAAAGAACATCTGACAAAGTAATAAATCAATCATCGAATTTACAGACTCTTGAAATTCGGGAAAAGCTTATCGATAAATCAGAATGACAAGATGCGCTACCTAATCTTCAAATGCAATTGGAGCAGATGATTGATAATAGAACGCGGGAATTTTTGAATTACTCGCAACGATGCGCATATAAGGCATTGAAGCGCTTGACGCTTAACAAAAATCTGAATTTCAAACCCGAAGTGTGGGAGGAAACGTCGGTGAGATCGCGCGCTTCTACTGACAGATCGATAATAGATACAAACCAGTCAGACGTGGCTGAGAGCGGAAGTCCTGAATCCAGGACTCATATCCCAGAGTTTCCTTTCTCACGCGAAATGCAAAGAAGATTGAGAGAAATGTGGACTGCAAATATCGAAGAGCAGGGCGTTAAATATAAGCTGTTAAAGTTAAACTCTGACAAATCCTCCATGGTTCCCGCAAAATCATTGACGAAGTCCGCCTTTAGCACGAAGTTCGCCAAGTACGAAACTTGGGAAAATCGTTCAGCGAAATTTCTAAACGCTATTCCGAGGATTTCGTGCTTTCGACGCAAGAACCGTGATAGGTGCTTATCCTGCATGCATAAATCCCTGCGGAAGGCGAACGAAACCGAAGCTGTCTCCTCGCGAGCGTCATTGCTAACGGAAATTGAAGCAAAAGACGATAGCGAGTCCAGCTCCGACGGTCTTCCGGAATTTCGCGAGGAATTGCGGAAGATATTATATTCTCAGAGAAAGGAAATTCTGAGATATCCGGAAACGGTTGAGGATAGGTCAAGCAAATCAGCATCACCGTCGCTTCAAATGGAACAAGAAGGTACCGAGATTTCGCTGCAGATTGATCCAATTCAATCTAAGGATAAAACACCAAAACCTACTAAAAGTCTGCTATCTAAAGATCCAAAGAGCTTGAAAGCCTCCTCCAGCTCGATTTCAATATCGTCGGACATTGAACGATCAAAAATTTCGTCCTCGGAAGCGCATACCTCTGACGATGAGACATCATCCTCGCTGGCGCTGGATAATGATCCATCTCAATACAAAAACATGGCGCCCTGTCACTTACCTACGGTCTTGCTACCCAGCATGGAACCTTTGCGAGCTTTGAGACACAAAAAACCGATTATCATGGAGTCGCGAAACGCTCTCATGAAGACTGCAACTTCGATGAAGGAGAAATCTGACGATGAATATTATGATGTCGAAGAAACAACAAAGGAAAGACTGCCATCGAAAATAACCAGCGAGAAATCTGAAAAGGTTGATGAGAAGAAAGATACGCTCTCGAAGACCCCGAATGCTCTCTTGAAAGTTAAGTCGCAGCAACAGCTGATATCGCCAATCGTAGAATCTGCACGAAAGGGCGAGCTGAAGAGAGGATACAGTTACGCGAGCATCAAGGATTTATCGAAAGATTCTACGAGACGTACGTTCGAGATTCCTCGAGGCAAGGAGGAAGATGGGCAAGGAAAGGTAATCCCCGTGGAGGAGATAGATTCCGCGAAAAGGTCGACTTCCTCCGACTCAGTGAAAGCAGAGAGGCGCGTGGAATTACCGCTTTTGACGATCGCTGAAGTCTCGCGATTTTTAGAGAAAATTAATCGCGACGACATGTCGACCACGACCATGTTGAAGAGCTTGGCGAACGAATTTTCTTTGCGAATGATAAAACAACACAGCACTAGCATGACGACGACAAAAAAGCGCGCTAAACTAGTCGCGAGATTAACAAAGTTACTAGTGGATTCGCAATGTTATTTGAATCCTGATAAATTCCCGTCTGACCTTGTTTTCTCCACAAAACAGTCTCCCGCTTGCAATACTCGTCTGCTGAGACATGCTCTGCCGCTTGATTCCTACAATTTTGTCGCCCCATTATTGGGTATGCCGAATTGGTATCCAAAAAAAGTCATAAAGGAAGAGGTACTTTATGAAAAGAAAGAGGAAGAAAAAGAAGAAGAAGAAGAAGAAGAAGAAGAAGAAGAAGAAGAGATAGAAGGCACGATTCCCTTCGATTTGATTGTACGTATGTAGATATGTTCTGCTATCGGATATTCTATAATATATTCTATAACGAATTTAGATTTTTTTAAAGAAGAATTTTATCATAACTTTCAAATTTTTAACATTATATTTTCATGTTTATGATTCTAATTAATTTCTTTTAATAAAACTCAATTAAAACTAATTGGAAATTACATTCTCGCTACGTTATATATTTTTTATGTTCGATAAATTGATTATGTAAGTCAAAAATGAAAATAAGTCTCTCATTTAATACTGTGAATTCTATCGTTACTCGGACACAGTACGCTTTGTCCGTTCGAGAGTTATTAGTTGAAAGTAAGCCTTTTATACGCCTGTAGGTGCATCCCCCGACGACCAAAGACGGAGATGAGTTAAAAATAGATCAAGTTAGACCTTATGTTCTCTTTTTAAAGAAACCGCGACGCAAGGTACGGTATCGATAATGCGAAATAACATTTATCAGTTTGTACGCTAAAATCAGCTTCTGCTCCATGCAAAAGTCTTCGGTTTCTTAATACCGATTACCACTGATCGTTACAGGTTGTCACTTGGCGTCCTTTAACGGCGGCAGATCTTAAAGACTACGATCCTGAGGCTACTCTTGAGATGAGAGCTAGAAATATTACGAACAGGATATGCCGTGACTTCTGTGAATGGCTACGTAGTTTAGGCGACACCAACAAAATCGACGAGGAAATCCTAGGAGATATGTTCGAAATTGACTTTACGGCCGACGTTAGCAGAACGATGGAGGTACAGATAGAAACAAAGTACATAGACGCATAGTGTATTGCGCTCCGTAAATGCGTTCTCGCGCGTGCACGCGATAGTCCTACAACGGCGTAACATCATAATACGATGCATGATGTAACAGCGATAACACGCACTTTGAGCGGTGAACCACACAACGCAGAATTTGAATTATAACTTCAACGTGGTACTAGAAGGCTGACCTGATTGCACGTTCGCATTTCTCAAATAAAGCTCGTCGAGTCTCTCGTGGAGAAAATGATATTTCCTTCCAATAGAAAAAACACAATTAAATTAATGACAGAAATCTCATTATCGTAAGATTGTTTTTTTTTTTACGTCTTTTTTTTGGAGAGTGTCAGAAATTCATAACATAAAGGAAACTTTTCTATGTTACGCCGGAGGGATATAAGAAAATAAAATATTCGATTATATTTGAGATAGATGTCAATAAGGGAAATGCCGATGGTACCTAATGATGTTGCCGCAGCGAGACAGTGTTTTGATGCAAGTGAGCTTGCCATGACCAAGAAGCATCTGATTAGAGATGCCAAAGCTGAGAGTAAGCCGACCAAAACAATGGCCTTTGGCACCGCGATTCCCTGGAAGTTTCGGTTCGTACCACCTAAAAATCGAGTGAGAGAGAGATGGCTACGATGCGAGAACGTGATGATCGATCTAGAAACGATGGACGTGGTCTGGAAAGACACAACGCATCTGGAGAGTGTCAGGTCTTTCGCAAAATGGCTCAGTGCACGTTCGGAAGTAAGTGCATAAGCAATTTTTACTCTAAACAATTGCTTTCTTCATCTTGTCATTATACTTTTAGATTTTGCTGCCGGGTGCATTAAAAACCACATTGACCACCAAAAAAGAACACGCCAAAATTGACAAGACGCATTTGCAAATGAATGTCAAACAGATTAGCGGTTTTAAAGTCCGCGACACGCTTCAGAATCCTGACTCGTTCTGATTTGACTCTAATTAACAGAAGTAGGAGAGATCGGTGCTTAGAAAGAAATTGTCGCTAGACCCTCAAAGTTCCTGCATACTGGCGCCAAATACGTGTAACCGATACGACCGCATGATGACACAGCGCAGAACGCCCATTTCCTGTATGCGGCGAACGGTTAACCTCCGTGTAGCCGCCGTGGATGCTTCAATCGCAAACAATTCCCGTGGAAATTTCGACAAACGTTCAATTACGGGACCTAATTTTCTGCTAATGATCGCCACGTTTCACTAATCCAACGTAACGTAGAAATCAAGTTTCTCGCCGGGTTCCTACCTCGAATCAAAATGTATGGATCATTAAAAGGCGTGAACGGTTACCGGACCATCATTCCTGATTTGGCGTGTAGATTGGATTAACAGTCCGATTTCTGTCTCTCCTACTCTCCCACACACTATGTACACACGTACACCCGCACATACACACAACAAATTAATTCATTGGCAACGTGGCGCATCGACTAATACTGTATTTCGCTGCACCAATTATCGATCACTCAAGTCCCATTGCATTGAACTCCATTAAATACGTGCACGTAATGACTGTAATGTTAATAATGTTATTCCCATATATATAAATTAATAATAATCTCTTATCACACAATATAGAAGAGATAAGTAACCCGCGGAACATATTTATATATTTCTCTTCATGTTGGAAACAAAAATGTCCTACAGTGCTTGACACTTCCGATATTTCTCGATTCCATTTTCAATTTAACAAGCCGAACGCCATTACAAATGGCATTTTACATTATTACATAGGTAATAATATGTAAAGTGATCCTACAAAAAAAGAAACAAAATGACAATGGCAAATAAAAAGCATGGATACCTGAAGCTGAACCATAGAGCCGACGATCTCGCATCGACGAGTTGTCTAGCAAAATAACGCAAACGAGCCGATGAAATATTGGAAACGTATCACGAACGCCGGATGTCCTCTGACAGTACTTCTGCTTACGACAGAAAACGCGCCTTAGACTCGCGGCAACAGCGGTAGGAAAGAGAAAAAAAGAGGGAGAGAAAAAAGCAAAACTCGCCTCATTCGCGATACATCTTCCTTGGTACGACGTACCAATTCTCCCTACCATAATTTTCTTTTCGTTTTTCCACGGAATACCACGATTCAAATTATATCGCGTCAACGAACGAAGAGTCATTACGAGGCAACGAGGCATCAGGGTGACATCGTGACTAAAATCGTGGTTGGGGTTTTTTGCCTCGGGGATACGAAAGTAAACGAGAGAAAGAAAGAAAGGAAAGAGAAGAAAAAAAGAGAGAAAGAAAGAAAAAGTCCAGATTCAAAAGAACAGATATGCATCGGCTAGGTTTGCCACATGCTTCAAATCCGGTTCTTCTCTGTTTGTCTTTAATATTTATTTAACCTTTTTTTCCTGCATGCACGCCGGCATACGAAACGTGAAGCATTATTCGCGCGAGCGTTTTGCTAAATATTTACACGCAACACAGTGGCATTTAGACAGCACGTCAAAAATACACAATTAACCCGTTTTTCTCAGATGTTTTGTATTTCCGTTAACTTCTTTATCTCAGAGGGGATTTTTTAATTACAATCAGACATCAATCACGTAATCTTTATTATGTCACTAATTATATAGAAATTATATATAATAGAGATTTATAATTCTTTCTAAAGTGACGACTTTAAAATCAGAAAAACAGCTAATTAAAAGATATAAAGTTCAATAAAAATTAATAGATTACGTTAATACAACTATTGATGTATAGGAAAAAAATTTTCATCATCTTCAATAAAACTATTTAGTCAAGATATTTTCAACAACTACATTTTTGATTATATAACAAAAAATTTAGTTACTTCTGCTCTAATTCTCTTCAGCTTCAAATATTTTTTTTATCAACTAAACAATTTAGTTGATATAAACAAATATTTTTGTTCGTTTTAAATTTCATAAAACAAAATAATAATCCACTGTTACATTAAGAAAAATGTTTTGTTCTATAAATCAAAATGTTGCTATAACCAAATATTTGGTTAAAATTTATCAAACATATATTATATAAATGAATATTTAGTTACATCAACTGTTTAGTTGATATAAATAAATATTTTTATCATATTATTTAGAAAGCAGAAAAAGCGTGTATTTTGCAGAAACAGCTAAATTTCTTTAAATTAACACAATACTTGATTTCTGTTAAAAATTATCAATCTTATCTAATTTATTAAATTTTTTTTATTAAATTTTTTTAGATGTAATCACTAATACATATATAATTAAGATGTAAATATATTTTAATTTTATATTTTTCGATAAATCTTCTTGTAGGATGATGAATCTAAGAAAAATAAATGATTTGAAGAAAGATTAGCATATTTTCTGTTAATAGTAACAAAACTGTTCAGTCATCCCGATACTAACAAGGATACTGAAAAATCTCGAACTTGAAAGATATATCCCTTAGTGTCTCTTTTTTTTAATCCCCTTTCCAAGAAAGGACTGCCAGTGAGTCACGAACTTTACGAGAAAAAAAGTAAACGAGGGAAAGAGGAGATTTTAAAAAGGAGACAGAAAGGGAATCGGAAGCACATCGTGGGTGACTTGACGGAGGGAGGAGCAAGGAGATGAAGAGAGAGTTTAGAGTCATCATTGGCCATTGGCCATCCGTTTCGCTCCACTTGCGACGAAGGATCCCGCTCGACCGAGAAATTTAACAAGGCACACGCTCTCAACTGACAATAGCCAACTTTCCTGATCCCCGCGTACCCGGGTTTTAATTACTTCAATTTGAACCCCGAGTTTGCCTCGCAACGAGTACTCCAGCCACCGAATCTCGCTATTTTTCTGTTCAAATCGACGAACTATCCGCCGCGAAAATAAAATGCGTGATGAATGGTGTTAAACAAAACTGAATTAATCCACTACATATACAAACACTGCTGGTTTTCATACGAACGTGGAGTCTCCCGTTGTTTTACGATTCAGCGATGCGTGCAAAATTATATATTGCGCATATATTGTAAACTATGAATCATATCAGTGAATTTTATCATATAACAGTACTCGAGTCACATCTTTCGATCATGCGTTATTATCCGCTAATGCTTATATTGATTTCGATCATCACTGTTTAATATTATCAATCGTCAAAATAAATTAAAACTAATCTATGACTAAATTCAATTTAGATCCAGTTTTAACAATGTAAGATTAATCTCAGTTCAATTTACACTTTATCTTTTTTTAACTGTAAGAATTGAAAAAAGATAAAAAGTTAAACTGAAATTAGAATTAATCTTACATTGCCCAGAAATGTATAGTTGATACGACGTCTAATCAATGTCGAAAAGCTGACATTGAAATAAAGTCAAACTTTAGATCGACATCGAAATAATATCAAATATCAACAAGTTCTCAATATTTCGACATCATTTCATTGTCGAAACGACCTTACTTTCATATATAAATTTACTAGGAACTTTGATTGGTTCATTCTCTTATGTTCTATACATTGTGCTATGCGTTATGTAAGAATTGATCTGAACGCTGCACAAATACTTCACGAAAAAGTTCGATTGACCAGTTAGTTGCTTTAAGTCTAATATAATATTACATTCGTCTGTTTTTTATCGTACGACAACAAACTTTTTAAGCCTGTTGATTGGCTGCGGGATAGAGGTTCTCGAATCTCTTTGTCTGCAGCCAATATTGACACGCTTGAAAAATTTGTCATATGATAAAAAACGGATGAACGTAATTTTAATAAAACGTACATTTATAAATTTCTTTATCCTGATTGGTCAATTGAACGATCGCTAAGTATTAACGCAAAGATGCAAGAGCGGCGCACTTGCATATAGTTCAAAATAACACATCACTTACATCGATTCCTAGTAATTTTTAACTGTTTTACCAATGAGATTATATTATTTTAAATTAGCCAATTAGTTATGTGAGCAATTGATACATCGATGCTTGCAATCCCAGTCAGAAAAGTGACATTGATATAACGTTTATTCCACGCTGAGAAAAAATATCCTAAACTTAAATAAATATTTGCCAACAAAACATTTACTTACAATAAATAAATATTTATTTAATAAAAAGAAGTGATTGTTAAATCAAATTAATGTTTTTTGTACCAAATAAATATATTTTTATATTTAATAAATATTTA